GTTATGCGCCCTTTGGGAGCTGCATGCTGATTTTGCATCTGCTCACTCGTCGTTGCTTGTGTCTAACTTTTTGGACAAAATCAAAACCACCATATTCACTGGATATCGCCCCCTGCGACTTTTCCCTGCTCCCAAAACCCATTAAACCAAGGTGGAACGATTGAGGAGATAAATAAAAAATTGCTGGAAGAACTCAAGGCTATATCAGAAAATGGGTTACCAGAAGTGCTTCAGGGGCAATTACTTTTAAGATTAATTAATTTTGATAAATCAATAAATAACTTACTTCAAAGTCACCTTACTTTTTGAACACACTTCGTATGCAATGTGTTTTTTAATTAAGTGCCGATATTTAAAAGTGCGAATATTTTTATTTTTTAATATAATTTCTATCTAATTTTTTTACCACCCTAGATTTTTTTATGAAATTTTACACTCATGTGTTAATCATTAAGGATCATGGCCCGAATGATTTTTTGAAACGTTTACCAGTGACGTTTGTTTGGGGATTGAACAAAATATTTTTGAAAAAAAATATAAATTACACCACTGGTTCTAAACATTTATTTTTATTTTTTCGGAGCGAATTGGCACGTACTATGCACGTTTTTCGCGTGTTGAAGTTTATTGAAACTGCTGTTTGCACATTATTGAATTTTGTTGAATTTGGTTGGATTTTAAAAGTTATAACCAAGTTTTTTTTTCCTTAAAATCTTAAGAGTCAAAAATGAAGAGGTATCAAGTTTTCTTCTTTAAACCACCCCAAGGATCCACACTATCAAGTATATTATCAAGCAGCCTCTATGCATGTAGGCAATTGACCTCTAAATAAAATATTGGTTAAACATAAAACAAAAACAAAACTAACCCAATTATATTTTCGAAATAAAAGTATATATATACCAGTAAGTTCATATTGTTTATCCATTGTTCGCAAATAATTTTCATTATTTACTTTTTTAAAATTTACTCAACTTTTTTCCAATATGGGTTCACAAATTGACATAACCACATTTTTCTTTATTATTCATTTCACTTATCCAATCTTGCATCAAACTTGATGGAACATCCAGTAATATTGACAATGTTTTGTCCAAAATTGACAAATAATTACAATATTTGTTGAATATACTACGAAATGAACCGCGATTTGCTTTGTTATCCAATTATAGATACGGGTGGCCAATGATCAATTCTGTCTCTGAATTGCTAAATGCGTATAATATTTATAAAACCGCTTCATTCAAATTGTGCGTACTTTTTTTTGTGTCTTTTGTTGAAATTAGTAGTTATCTGTTTATTGCCGACTGTGCTTCAAAATTCCTAATGAGTTTGTTAGTCTACTTGATGGTTTTGTATTACAAGGTGTTTACTTCTTGTTTTGTAACTAATAACTCATTAAACTTGGAACTAAATTTCTACTAAATGTAAATATTTATCTAAGAGTGAGTAAAACTGCAAGTTATCTCTCTTAGTGACTCTCATACAACAAATATTCATATTTAACTACTCAGCGTCAATTCTACCTTTAAGTGCCCACCCCGTCCTAAACCACCAATTGTTGATTCCCCAAAGGTGGCCGCTGTTGAGGGATTCTACGCAATTTGTTAAAATCTAATTACCATAAATTCTATTTGTTTAGTAATAAAGATTTTAGCTATAAGAAGAAGAAAAAACACTAGGTATATTGCAAAAACGACAATAAACTAATTTTTATTCTTCTATTTAAATGAAGAAAAGCAACAAGAATTAATATTTTTGCAGGGCATCGTTCCAATGATCGAATTTATCGATTTAGGCATATTTTCAAAAGTATGGGGGTATTCTCAGCCACCTAGCGAACCCGGAGTGTCTTCAGGATAAGTTTTGGAGTAAAAGCAACACCAGCTGGTCTCATGTTAATAATAAATAAAAAAATGTCTCACGAAATCACTTTTAGTATCTGTAAATTAATAAAATCAGAATTATTACGTCCACAGTAGATATTCTTGGAAAAAAAATCTTCCTAGGGAGATTTTTGTCGTGGAAGATTTTTAACGTCTAGAAATTTCTTTGGAAACCAAAAAGCCGTATGAAACCCGAGACAAAATAGGGAAAAATAACGGATTCTATGTTGAATAATTTCTCCAATGAATACCGATCATTTTTTTCACACCCTCCCATTACATATTATGATTTTGATAGCAACTGACCTAAAAAAACTTGTATATTTTTTTATTTAGTTCTTTATCTTATCGCTAACTTTTAATATCTCTTCAACAAACATGTTCTGTTCCTAGATATTCAGTATTTACTACCAACTCTCATTAAATGGACCCAAGCACCGAATAAATATATCTGATGATTTCGTATATCTAACAGAAAAGCCTCAAATATTAGTGACCACGCCCACAAGTTAAACAAAAGATTTTTAGTTTAATTTAGTTTAAATTCCTGAAAACGATCCGTTTGAGTAAGCACATCTCTTCCAATCTTAACGTCCTCCTGAAAGAAGTCGGTTAAGTTTCTCCATTATTATTGAAATTGTATTCAAGATATTAATTTATTAGTGAAAATATCGTGAAAAAACTCGAAATACAAGAAAACGCAAATTTGTCTGTTTTAATTTTGCCCTACTTCCCCATTTCATTTCATGTCCAATAGAATACTCTCCCTCTCTTTGGAGAGGAAAAATGTCCCTGTTTTCTTAAAACAAATTTTTGAAAAATACTGCATTTTAGTAATCTGGGAAAACAGGCCCACATTACCTATTTGCACACAGTGTTTCTATCCCCTAGAATTTAATAATAGCGATCCGGGTGGCATTTACAGTAACAGCACGCGGGCTATAGAAACCATGTTTTTCCGAAGCCGTAGCTCGTAACAACACTCGCGCTAACAGCAGTTACCAGTAATAACACGCGGGCTAGAAAATGTTGGCTATAGTAATTATGTAAATTATGCACGAGCGATAATCAACACAGCACGTTTTCTGTGGATAAGTATAGATCAACAAAACTAAAACACATACGAATACACATAGAAGCAGTGTTATATTTCAAAAAAAAAAAAAAAAAAAAGAACAGTAGAAAGAATACATTCTTATCAAGGTAGCATAAAAATACTTACAAAAATGTAACTGAAACTGATTTTTTACTTACTTACTTACTTACTTAACGTAAAAACAAAAACAAATGACGTATATTTTAAACATTATTGCGACCTATGTCTATCTTATAAAAAAAAGGTGTTAGACCCTTATTTTCTCTAACACATTTGGCAAGCGAATGCGGATTTTTTGTTTTGCTATTTGAAAGCCTTTTAGTACTGCTGTTTGAGCTCTTCTTCCACACAACAAGAGTTTCTTCTTGAAATGGTAGGTAGGCTGCACGGGTATTTTTTTTTGCCATGACGCAAACACCACTATATTTAAAACAGTGGTATAAATCGCTACTCAAAGTATTGTCACTATTAGCACACTTGTTTTTATTAACCAGACATTGCTTTACATCTGGATAAAAAGTAATAGGATCTTGGTCAATCTTATCTGAAATGTCAGTGCAAAAACTTTGCCATTCATTTTTAAAGACTGCAATTTCCTGCGGGGAGGGCATATTTTTCATAAATTCTGAATTTATGTCGATGTTGTTGGAACCTTCATTGCTTTCCATTTTGCTTTTGTTATACGAATTCTCTACAGTAATTGGATCCATCTCCATCTCCTGCTCACTCACAGTACACTGTAATGGTAAAACCATTTCACTGTTAGCACATTGGCCACTCGCCACCTCATATAACTGAAGTTTTGTACTTAAAGTTAAAGTATTAATGCTAACATTTAAATACAGCAATACAGCAGCTAAAAGAAAGCCTATTTTATATTTTAAATGGGATAACCCGAGGGATAACCTGTAGTTTATGCACCAAAAGAGAAGGTATTGATTTTACTTTCCTATTTTTTCTTATTCTTTTGCTAATTAATGATGGTACCAATTTGTTTTCCTCTCTCTTTAACCGTTTTATTACAATAAGTTGAATAAACTTCAGAAAATGTCGATTTTCAATTGTTTGTTATTCGAAAACAGTTGAAGATATGTTAGGTATAGGATATACATAATATGTTAGAGAATTTTAGTAAAGAATAAAGAAGAATTTTTAGCAAAATCGAAAAATGCAATAATCTACAGGCTGACGTATTTAAAAATTAAAATTTATGCACACCCTGTATATTTAAAAATTTAAGGATCGCTCCCCCTTCCTAAATACTGCGTCTGTACCAAATTTCAAATCAAAATGCAATGTTATAGAGGGTCTCATAAAAAAAAAATCGGTTTTGATACTTTCTTGAGACACCCAGTATAATCCAAAACTGGTCCGTTATTTTAAGGTTAGGAAAGAAATTTATTAAAAAGTACTTAGCTCAGCATCGGCTTTGTCTTTTAATTGAAGCCTTAGAATCTTATCACAAATTTTTTTAGTCTTAAACGACTTAGGAAGTTTTTCCCCATCCATATTTATATTTTTGCACAATAGTATATATATAAAACTCAAAAACGAACACCACAAAACATACTTAACCAAAGAAAGAAGGAAGTTTCTAGAAAGCGTGCTGTTGCGCTTTTTTCTCTCTAGCACAAGTGCTGTTACTGATGACAATTTCGCGGATCCGAACTTAAACGAAGTTTCTAGCCCGCGTGCTGTTACTGTAAATGCATCCGGGTGGTGCTCAGAGAGCCCGGCCACGAAAATTAATGAGAAACGCAACCCTTAATACGTTTACGCGTAAGGTTGGTTGCTTATCCGCTTACTTATGTTCGCATTTATTCGTCTGCGTTTAGCGACTTCCCGGGTCCGTTTTCGAGTGAAAAATTTCGGGACTCGGTCGCGTGAAAATGCCAGATTTCCTCCGGCGTGTCCGCGTTCTGCGCATTCGTCTCCCCCCGTAAATGTGCCCGAGGCTCATCGGGACAAGCACGGGATAGATTTGCTTTCGTTTTCGGACGTTTCAGTTCCCGGTTTTCGACCGAACGGAACTGTCTGCGGCTCGCAAGCCCATCTTGGCAACGCCGAAGGGGTGTGTGTATCGCGTATCGCGAAAATCCACGGACATCTTTCGTCGATGGCGGCGTCGACGATCGCCTATTGTTTTTCGTCGCTCGCTCGCAATTTCGCTGTCGGTTAACCAAGTAAGTGTGTCGACACTAGACGCGTTATCCTTTGGGTATTTTTTTGCGCGATTGTGACGTTGACGGTTGAAGAAGAAGCGCGCAAATAGGCCTTACGGTATCGGCGGGTTTGAATTTTTGTTATTATCTTTTAAATAGTCGCTAATCGGCTGCGATCGGCCTCGATGATTGTTTATTTATCATTCTTTTAATAGCCCGTCAAGGAGCCAAAACCGAAACACCTGGTGTGTAGGAACGCGCGCTGTTTTCGATCAATCGATTGTCGTAATAAACGAATCATTTAAATACTGGTAAAAAATAATTAAGTAGCTAATAATTTTTGCAGAACTTTTATGATAGTTAACCGCCCATTCGACGGGTCCGAAAAATATATTTATTAATTCGGATTCTAATTCAAATTTTATGTGGGGCCCGTTTATTGTGGGGACGACACAGAACTTGTAAGAAATATTAAAAAAAAATAATGTAGAAATTTTTTGTGTTTTTTTCTAAACATTTTTTATGCAATATCGTATATCTAAGTGTCATTGTTTTTGACATTTTAAATTTTATGTCGTTAGCAGATCTACATATATCTATCGATTTCTTCGACTGAAAGCTTTTGTTATACATTTGAGGTATTTCAAAAAGTTGTAGAATTCGAAATATTTGCAATAGGACGTTACAGATATGCATTTGCCAAAAACATGACGGCGAAATTTTGCAAAAAAAAAACAGTCGAATTTTAAATAAATCGATATATTTTGAAACCTGCAAACATTTCTTTTGATATGAAATTCATTTAATATGAAGAATATCTAGAAAGTTCTGAGAAATAAAAACATATCTTAATCTACTATTTAAATTAAAAAAGTTGTTAATTGTCGACGCAAATGCAAACATCTTGTATGCAAAATAATATGATATTCGTGACAATTTTTTCTTAAAAAGTATTTTTTTTATATATTTTTCAAAGCTTCTCAGATTATCTTGACATAATAAACTTAACACCCTGTCCATACAGCACTCACACAAATCAGTAAAAAAAAAACTAAAAAACTAGTTAAGTGTTTCTTGATGCAAGTTAGGTTTTCTGAAATGAAGTCAAAATGTTGTGGGTTTGAAAAACGTACTTTGCTACAGGCAAACAAGTATTTCAATATGATTATGGACCTTCCACAGATAGCAACAATAAAAAGCTATTGTCATCCGATGGATTTAACGTAATAAAAATAAAAAATTACATGCTGAAAATGCTCCAAATATGCCATAGCCATTTTTGATTAATTATTTAAAAAAATCTGGCTTAGGGAGTTTCAATTTCGGTGGTGACTCATAGTTTCGGAGCGGAAATTTGTAGACTTAGCAATTTCCAAGCTGAAAATGCTCAAAATATTCTGCAGCGATTTTTGATTAATTGTTAAAAAAATCTGGTTAAGGAGTTTCAATTTCGCTGATGACACAGTTTTGGAGCGGAAATTTGTACACTTAGCAATTTCCAAGCTGAAAATGCTTTAAATATTCCATAGCGATTTTTGATTAATTATTTAAAAAAAAATTGGTTTAGGAGTTTCAAGTTCGCTGATGACTTATAGTTTTGGAGCGGAAATTTGTACACCTGGCAATTTCCAAGCTGAAAATGCTCAAAATATTCCATAGCGATTTTTGATTAATTATTAAAAAAATCTGGTTTAAGAATATCAATTTCGGTGGTGACTCATAGTTTTGTAGCGGAAATTTGTACACTTAGCAATTTCCAAGCTGAAAATGCTTTAAATATTCCATAGCGATTTTTGATTAATTATTAAAAAAATCTGGTTTAAGAATTTCAATTTCGGTGGTGACTCATAGTTTTGGAACGGAAATTTGTACACTGCGCAATTTCCAAGCTGAAAATGCTCAAAATATTCCATAGCGTTTCACCTCAACCTTAAACTGACCGCAGCCCGGAATCCGTCTCATCCCAGGTGGTAATTTATTAAAAAGTTTTATAGGAAGGACGATTGAGCTATTTGCTACCGAACTTAATTTATATTTTGAAATATCTAGGTTATAATTCTGTCTGAAACGATAATGTTCATTGAAGATGGAAGATAGAGAAATAATTGTTGATGTAGAAGTAGACAATTATTTATTTTAGCAACATTATTCCACTTTGAAAATTATCAACATTAGATCGTGGCGTATACCTACCTACTGGGAAAACCATGTTAAAAAAGCGGTGATGCGGAAACATATGCATATTATGTGGAATATGAATTTTCCAAGTCGTGAGAAAAAAATGTGCCTGAACAATTTTTTTAGAGAATTGTATGATCTATAACTTTTGTCTGACCTATTTTCACGATAAAACTTACCGTTTTCGTGAAAAATAAAAAAAAACTCAATTTTATACGTTTGACTTCGAAGCGGATTTTTGACTTTCATGTATATTTAACGTCATTGCCAACTTTCAGTTTTGTACGAAGTTTTGACTTATTTTTGTCTATTTTGCCTGGATTTTTATTGATCTATTGGATATAAGATATGATTATTTACATATGAGACTAAATCGAAAAAACAAAACATTAATATTAAGAGCTCATGCGTGGTAAGTACTTTCTAGAGGTAACTAGCAATTAGTTTTTGTGTGCCAATCATAAAAAAATCTTTTTTTTTACCGACCTTAGTGTAGGAATTTTTACATTACAATTTATCTGAACTTTACGATATAACGTAAATTTACGTTTTGCTATTCTCTCGCATTGAGAAACATGGTATAGTCGAAAAGGTAATTTCGCGCGCTCTAAACGACAACCACAACCGCGTCAAAAATACCCAAAGAACACGGATGGGGGGTAGCTTCGAAGGGACGCGACCCCTCTCCCCTCCTGTCTGGGGTGACGACATTTTTCCGCAAAAGGTACCCCTCGCGGACGCCTCACAGGAATTCCCGGTCGGCGAGGATGGCGCTACGAGAGCGCAACCGTCGCCGTCTGACTCTATAACGGAGTCGTCAGGCGCGTGCGACGTCAGCGCGGAAGATGAGGATGACTTTGTCCTGCTATGACATGCTCTGTGTCAATTTCGCCAAAGTAATTCGAAGCGTGAGCTTTTAAATAGCGCAAAAAGTTGCTCGTCCGCCGCTGTGTGTGAGTTTTTGTGGTTTTTCGTTTTTTTTTATTTAGTCCAGGACTGGTTTTTTTTTGCAATTAATTTTTCCAGTTTTGGTCATTGCGGACTTCAAAAGTTGCAAAAAAAAAGTCCTGGACGGTTTAGTTTGGGTTCGATTTCAATTCGCATGTTGTCCGATTTGGATTGGTGCATGTAAAGCCAGTTTTACAGGGACAAATTTTGATTCGATTGTCTGGTTTTGTGTGGTAGTTTTTCCAAGAGAATAGAGACACGAAAGTGCCTATTAGAGGATCTTGAATTCTCGACAGTTTGTTTGGTTCTTTTTACTATTCATTTTACTTAAAAAAATACTTTTTTTAGCTATGAATATATTAACGGCTTTTGAGAATCTTTCAATTTTATAAAAAGTCGATTATTGAAGTTTTTTAAGTTTTTCTTACTTTAAAAAGATGGTTCGATTCAGCAGGTAAGTCCATGAATCCATACATTATATAGGGCGATGTAAGAGTAGTAAAATATTTTCAAGAATGCGGTGTTGCCGCTTATACATAAAAGTGACAAACATTTTGCTTAGTTTGAATTCTTCACAAGAAATAAAGTAGACTTTGTTCATATCCTACATTTTTAGGCCAGTTTCTGACATTTTAGATTTTTTGCATTCTTTCATGACATACCGCTTTAAATGGAACACACAGGATGTTTTAAAAATAAGGTTTTGTGTACGAGAGTTTTAGAAACACACCCTGTGGGTTTTTACTTCCAGTATAGAAATTAACCCGATTTTGTTCAAGTTTCCCTATACTCTTGTCTATAAAAATTAATGTCAATGATTTTTCGGTGATATTAACATTTAATATAACTATTTAGTTTGGGTTCGATAACAATTCGCATGTTGTCCGATTTGGATTGGTGCATGTAAAGCCAGTTTTACAGGGACAAATTTTGATTCGATTGTCTGGTTTTGTGTGGTAGTTTTTCCAAGAGAATAGAGACACGAAAGTGCCTATTAGAGGATCTTGAATTCTCGACAGTTTGTTTGGTTCTTTTTACTATTCATTTTACTTAAAAAAATACTTTTTTTTAGCTATGAATATATTAACGGCTTTTGAGAATCTTTCAATTTTATAAAAAGTTGATTATTGAAGTTTTTTAAGTTTTTCTTACTTTAAAAAGATGGTTCGATTCAGCAGGTAAGTCCATGAATCCATACATTATATAGGGCGATGTAAGAGTAGTAAAATATTTTCAAGAATGCGGTGTTGCCGCTTATACATAAAAGTGACAAACATTTTGCTTAGTTTGAATTCTTCACAAGAAATAAAGTAGACTTTGTTCATATCCTACATTTTTAGGCCAGTTTCTGACATTTTAGTTTTTTTGCATTCTTTCATGACATACCGCTTTAAATGGAACACACAGGATGTTTTAAAAATAAGGTTTTGTGTACGAGAGTTTTGGAAACACACCCTGTGGGTTTTTACTTCCAGTATAGAAATTAACCCGATTTTGTTCAAGTTTCCCTATACTCTTGTCTATAAAAATTAATGTCAATGATTTTTCGGTGATATTAACATTTAATATAACTATTTAGTTTGGGTTCGGTAACAATTCGCATGTTGTCCGATTTGGATTGGTGCATGTAAAGCCAGTTTTACAGGGACAAATTTTGATTCGATTGTCTGGTTTTGTGTGGTAGTTTTTCCAAGAGAATAGAGACACGAAAGTGCCTATTAGAGGATCTTGAATTCTCGACAGTTTGTTTGGTTCATTTTACTATTCATTTTACTTAAAAAAATACTTTTTTTTAGCTATGAATATATTAACGGCTTTTGAGAATCTTTCAATTTTATAAAAAGTCGATTATTGAAGTTTTTTAAGTTTTTCTTACTTTAAAAAGATGGTTCGATTCAGCAGGTAAGTCCATGAATCCATACATTATATAGGGCGATGTAAGAGTAGTAAAATATTTTCAAGAATGCGGGGTTGCCGCTTATACATAAAAGTGACAAACATTTTGCTTAGTTTGAATTCTTCACAAGAAATAAAGTAGACTTTGTTCATATCCTACATTTTTAGGCCAGTTTCTGACATTTTAGTTTTTTTGCATTCTTTCATGACATACCGCTTTAAATGGAACACACAGGATGTTTTAAAAATAAGGTTTTGTGTACGAGAGTTTTGGAAACACACCCTGTGGGTTTTTACTTCCAGTATAGAAATTAACCCGATTTTGTTCAAGTTTCCCTATACTCTTGTCTATAAAAATTAATGTCAATGATTTTTCGGTGATATTAACATTTAATATAACTATTTAGTTTGGGTTCGGTAACAATTCGCATGTTGTCCGATTTGGATTGGTGCATGTAAAGCCAGTTTTACAGGGACAAATTTTGATTCGATTATCTGGTTTTGTGTGGTAGTTTTTCCAAGAGAATAGAGACACGAAAGTGCCTATTAGAGGATCTTGAATTCTCGACAGTTTGTTTGGTTCTTTTTACTATTCATTTTACTTAAAAAAATACTTTTTTTTAGCTATGAATATATTAACGGCTTTTGAGAATCTTTCAATTTTATAAAAAGTCGATTATTGAAGTTTTTTAAGTTTTTCTTACTTTAAAAAGATGGTTCGATTCAGCAGGTAAGTCCATGAATCCATACATTATATAGGGCGATGTAAGAGTAGTAAAATATTTTCAAGAATGCGGTGTTGCCGCTTATACATAAATATGACAAACATTTTGCTTAGTTTGAATTCTTCACAAGAAATAAAGTAGACTTTGTTCATATCCTACATTTTTAGGCCAGTTTCTGACATTTTAGATTTTTTGCATTCTTTCATGACATACCGCTTTAAATGGAACACACAGGATGTTTTAAAAATAAGGTTTTGTGTACGAGAGTTTTAGAAACACACCCTGTGGGTTTTTACTTCCAGTATAGAAATTAACCCGATTTTGTTCAAGTTTCCCTATACTCTTGTCTATAAAAATTAATGTCAATGATTTTTCGGTGATATTAACATTTAATATAACTATTTAGTTTGGGTTCGATAACAATTCGCATGTTGTCCGATTTGGATTGGTGCATGTAAAGCCAGTTTTACAGGAACAAATTTTGATCCGATTGCCTGGTTTTGTGTGGTAGTTTTTCCAAGTAAATAGCGACACGAAATTGCCATTTAGGGGATCGCGAGTTTGTTTTGCTCTTTTTGCTATTCATTTTACGTATAAAATACGATTTTATTAATTTATTTATTAATTATTAATTAAACTAACCAAAACTAACGCCATTTGGGGATTTTTGAGTTTTATAATGGTTAAAAAGTTGATTGGAGGATTTTTTTGGAGTTTTTCTTACTTTAGGAAGATACTGCGATTCAGCGGATGAATTATAGAGGGTGATGTCAGAGGAGGTGCCATATCGTTCCGAAATATTTTCAAATATGCAGTGTAGCCGCAGTGTCAAACCCTGTGATATCATTTCATGCCCTGTACCTATATCTTAAAATTTTTCAGCCAGTTCCTGGTATTTCAGGTCTCTGACATTCGTTTCTGGCATACCGTTTTATATATAACGTACAGGACGTTTCAAAAATAAGATTTTGTACGAAAGTTTCAAAAACACTGTTTAGTGAGTTGTTTTTAAATAGTATACCCTGTATATTTTTAATTTTCAAATTCCAGGAAAGAAACTAACCCAATTTTGTTCAAGTTTTGCGCATAGACAGAATAATCTTTTGAAAACCTCATTTTCATTTAATTTTAATTTCTTTCCAACAATCTTGACACTTTTTGAAATAATTAATCAACACAGTAGATTCCTTCCTGTCAACCTCCAATGTCTTTTTGTGAACAGTGTAATTATAATATTAATTCATTCATTCTGTCTATCTGCCAAGCTTTGTTCCAAATAACCATGTTCAATGTTGACATTATGGAAAAATTATGGGCATTGATTTTTATTTTAAAGTCGGTAAGAGATTGATTTAGAAATATACCGGGTGTGTTGTTTAAAAAACTCAATAAACCGTGTTTATAAAACTCCCTTACAAAACCTTATTTTTGAAACACCATGTATGTCCCATCTAAAATGGTATTCCAGGAAACAATGCCTGACCTTTCCGGGAACTACCTGGAGAAGTTCGGCTTTCTGTTAAAAAGGCATGGTGCTCTTAAGATTTTTTCAAGGGTCCAAATTGCTTGAACATCTAGAAAATTATTTTTTATTTCGATAACGGTAAAATAAAGTTACAGGGAAATCTGAATAAGATCTATTTTGTTTCTTGGATATAATTCATTTTAGGGCTATAAAGCACCTCTTTTTATACCACCGCGTATAATTTAAAGTAAATCCAATGAACCGTTCGACAGATACTTCTAATAGGCCATCCGAAATATGGTTCTCAATTTTCATTAGATATTTGTCCGATTTTGACTTGGTTATGTCAAAAATATTACTTTAAAATCCCCGTTGTCAAAGTGTCACTTTAAGGTGTGAGCCACGGGTTTATGGTTCTAATGAGTATGTCTCACGTAACTCATTAAATGTGTTCCTGCTGTTCTGTATAGAAAAAAAGTTTATTGTTAAACTTCGGTTTATTGAACACTCGCTCCGTTGGTACCAAATCAAACTTGGGCTAAAGATACTATTAAGGAGCTTATAATAAAAGTGCTTTTTTGAAATTTTTCATTATAATCGTTACCTATATATTATGGTTCTTTGATGTTAGCCGTGGAGTACTAAAAATTTCATATAGGAACTAACTTTCTCGATATTAATGGAGACATCTCTCCCATATTTTTCTAATAGACAACCTAAACTAACGGAAGAAAAAAAAAAGAAATGATTTAGGTAATATAATGCATGTATGGTTAATTAACCCATAGTATGCGGGAAGGTTAGTCTGTGTGGTCATTTTATAAAATTAATTTTTAAGCTGATTGTTTGAGTTACTCCTCAT